CTTCCCCGGGGTTGAAGTGGATCACAGAACGAAGCTTTGTGAGGATGGGGATGGAGTCGTCACAGCGGAGTCCGGAGAGCTCTTCGACTAGTCCAGGGGATTTACGGTATGCGCTCATCGCAATCCAAGCAAGTACGAGCCAGACCTGCTCAAGCTTCTCCGGACTGACTTCTGCGGGCGGGAACTCCGTCTCCAACACTGTGCGATAGAGAAAGTCCAGGTTGCTGAGGCCGTTCGTATCCCTCGGGGTGAGGAGGAGCTGGAGGCAGTGCTCCATCTGTGGAGTACTTTCACCGAGGACAATGAATGTGACTGCGACACGGGTGTATGGAGCCGTGCCTTCCGCCTGTGTCGCAAGCTGAATGAAGGGGTCCCTCTGGTTCCATTGGCCGCCTTCATCGACAGCGCAGAGCCTTGAGCGCATTGCGGCCCCGATGATGTCGCGGTCAACTACTTCTGGTTTCAGGAACTCGTAGAGCGAGATATCCCATTTGGGATACATCGTGAACAAAGGAGATGGGTTATCGGTGAACAGGGAGGTGTAGATATCTTTCAGCATGCGAATAAACTCTTGGGTGGGGGCCGCTTGCTCTGCATGGACAACCCAAAAGTGTCTATGGTACCGGCTGCGGTCACCATTCCTGGTGTGCAAGAGTCTCAGGCAGTCACTAGCAAGACGAGCGTGCATAGTCCCGGGATCGACGTGAAAGTCATTCCCACAGCGCCGTTCGTCAACAAGGAAGTCCCGAAAAGTGACGTGCATGGCGCGGAAGGGTTTGCCGTCGATGTAATCTACAAAGACGACCACAGAACGGAGCTTTGCGAGGATGGGGATAGATTCGCGGCAGGGGATCCCGGAGATCGTCTCAACGTCGGAAGGCGTTATCCCATCGTAACTGTGACAGAGCGCGATCCAAGCAAGTAGGAGTCGGACTTGCTCGCGCAACTTGGGGTACAGGTCCTTGGGTGGAAATGCGGTCTCCAGCACTGTGCGGTACAGCTGATCCAAACTGTCGAGACCGTACGTGTTCCCCGGAGCAAGGAGAAGTTGCAAGCGGTCCTCCATCTGTGCCATACCCACGCCGCCAGCAATGAAGTCCACTGCAGTACGGGCGTAGACGAACACACCAGCCGACTGCCTGGTTAACCGTTTGACAACAGTCGGGTCGCTCTCGTGCCATTGGGTGCCCTCCCGTACCTTGCAGAGTCTCGTCCGGATGAGCTCCTCAATGTCGTGGTCGATAGCGTCCTCGACGTCGTAGAGGGAGACTAGAACAGACGAGTTCTTGACTTCCAGCTCGCGACGCGCCTCCTCGACGTGATTGGGATGAGGCCGTGATGTGATGAGAACGCGGAAGGACGACGGATACTCAAGGGCGAAGGAGACGAGTAGCTCTAGGCACCTTGGAACAAGGTCGGGCTGCGACGCACTCTCGTTACACTCGTCCAGGGCATCGATCACGATGTACACGGGCGCCGAGAGCACTCCGGCATCCTTGGCGTCACGGAGAGGCTCAAGCAGGAGATCTCTGGCAGCAAATTGCAGTTGCTGACCGGGTCCGGCCTTGCTATGGTGTTCGGCGCCGCATACGATGTACGGACGCAAGTCCTTCCGAGAGCGCGCAAGCTGGTTGGCGAGGGTGGTGAAGAATAGCATCGTAGAGCCGACGTTCGCATCTCCCCGTTTGAAGAAGAACGAGGCCCCGAGGTCGCCGTGCTCATAATCGCGTCGGCGGCAGAACTCCCATGCAATAGTCGACTTGCCCATACCCGCGGCACCTATGAGGAAGCACACAGGCTTGTCGCCTGACACCCACTCGTTAAGGCGCGCCCAGACGGCGCTGCGGGTGCCAGCGAGGAATTCGGCTTTTTCGGAGTTGCGCACGGACCTGTAACCAGCGGAGTCGGCATGCGGGATGTTGTTGATGATCTTCTGTTGACCTGAATGAGAGTTGATCCGTCAGCGGAGGTGCTAATAGCTACTAGCACGTACGTACGTTCTTCTTCTTGCTTTCTTCGTTCTTCATCCTGCTTCCTACGCTCCTCTTCTTGCTTCTCAGCCTCCGCCTTCTGTGCAGCGGCAAGGCTCTAAACAAGAATCATCAGAACCAGACGTATGTGTGTTCAGCAGAATACTCGCCTCCAACCTCGTGAGAGTCTCTTCAGTCCAAGCTTCCATGGACAACGTACCACCCAGCTGCCAAGATGAGAACTACTGTCTCTAATTGAAGCGCTATCTCAATAGATGTAATACGCACCCGATAGCGTCTCAGATTATCTTCGAGATTGGTGCGGATAGTTTGGAGTGTATCCTCATCGCGAGAGGCGTGCCAGAGACGTTGGTACCACCGACCCCGACCACACGGTTGAGCCTTCTCCAGTATATCCCCAAGTTCCCTAGGCGGTCAGAGCGACAGATCAGCATATACCGCATACCGTAGATAGCTCACAACCAGTCAGGGTGCTTACTTTTGCAACAGTTCCACTCGTTCCTGCCATCCATCCGACGCCTGCAGGTTCTCCCACATCGTAGCCCGCTCCTCGGGCTGAAGCTTGTCTGCGCGACTCTTGACTTTAAGAACAACGTTGGCGATGATGGTGTTCAAATTCGTTATCTCCTTCGAGATCGCCTCGACAGTCGCTCTGTTCGCTCTCATCTTCTGCGTGGCCGTCAGTCATTTTTGCCACATATATGCAAGGCGTGCACGACAACGCACCTTGACTTGGTCCAAAATGCCCAAGAGAGCGTCGGCCGCCGTCGAGAGGCCGGGGACAGGTGCAAGATCCAAGAGATCCTTCGTCTTCTCCAACGCCATGTAAACATTGTCGAGGACGTCGTTTACCACGTCCGATTTGTTGGCAAAAAGTGGCATGTCTTGTGTTGTTCCGAGTTGCCAATATACGAAATGCTGATAGAGTGATGAAGCGGACACTGGTAGGGCAGAATCAGTCTCGAAACGAGTGGAGAGGTGCGAATATAAAAGCCACGCAATAGGCTCCGGATATGCGGTGCACCGTGGGTGCGGCACTGCGTGCCTGGCCACCACGCAGAGGAACTTCTCGGTAACTTACTTTTACATTGCCGCACAGTCGAGTCGGACTTGGGCGCAGTAGCCATGTGGTAAGACTTGGTAAGAGGTAGCTGCAGAGGCTCAGCACCGGGACAGGACATCGACACTGAGCAGTAAAGTGGACATGAATTGAACGTGCTATCAAGAGGATCGGACCGAGTATCACCAGCGCTCACCTCTTCCCACCCTCCAGATTTCTGGAGTAAATATCAAGAGAGATTCGGAGCATAGGCTCGCACTGACGATGACGATCTGCACTGCGAGTTGCAACGCCCTACGAGAAGACGTAAAATGAAGTGACCGCATGTCTTGTCTCCATGTCTTGCTGGACGGTCCTCACTGCGCGCGATACGAGAACATTTCCGGCGAGAGAAGATGGCATCTACCGTAATACAGAACACGAGATCATATCAACCTCCCCCACCACCTTCGCCCACACGACATCGAACGACCCCGTCTGCGCTTACTTGCCACCAGTCGTGCCAATGCCCATCGCCGTCTTGAACAAGTCGTTGATCTACCACTGGAAGCTCGTGAGCGTAACCAATCGCTCGCACCGAGGCTCTTGCCCATCAGCGACAGGTGTGAGTGCCGGGTGCGAGACGACGGCAGCGAGATAGCTGGACGCGAAGATGACGCCAAGCTGCATCGCCTTGCCATACATACGTCTCCTTCGGCACGGCGAAGATGTGCTTGCAGAAGAGGCCGACGATATACTCGAAGAAGAACTTCGCCATCACGTACGGGATCTGCAGGGAAGAAGGGTGCTGCTTGAGTGCGTTACTTTTTGACGAGCGAGGGATGTACCCGGCACGACAACAACGAAATGAGCAAGCGAAGAGATAGCGAGTCTCCGTCTTGAACTTGCTCATCTCGGCGAAAGCAGCGGCACGTCTGGATCTTGACCTTGGTCATCTTCAGCGGGCAGAGCACGATGTCGGCGCAGAACTCGGCGGACGCAGAGCCGGCGAGCCAGATGGCACCCTGGTACTTCGCGGAGGCCTCCTCGCCGACAAAGTTCATGTACCCCGGAGCGAGTAGCTGACGAAGGTGGGGCCGAAACCTTTCTAGAGACCCTTGCTGTCCTCCTCATTGATGATCATCTTCGATTTGAGGCCAAGACCATTGTACTTGGCCGGGTTGACCTGTGGAACACATGTATCAGCACGTTGCTACACACGCGAATGATTCTTATCCTTCGGGCACTCGCGACTTCATATATGCGCGACCAAGGAAAGAAGTATCGCAGCAGACACGCTCGTCTGAAGGTTCCTGGACACGGTGCGATAAGGGGCGGGTTGCGTCTAAGCAACTGTGATGGCTCCCGCCAGCTGACCACGATTCACCAGTTGCGGCGCGCGACAAGGGAAGACAACAAGGACAGCTCGTGGCGAAAAATGACGCGCATTGGGCAAGTGCGTGAACACTAGAATGAACGCGAATATGTCCCGCAGAGTCATCCAACTGCAGCAACAATCACCGAACACGATGACAATGTCGTCCTTCGCGTGACAGGGTACGGAAGGGGATGATGAGGCCAAGGGAGATACACACCTTCGTAACGGCCAGAGGCGTACGCCAGAATACACTTAGTCGAGTATGATAGCTGGCATCGTGGGGAACGAGGCCAAGGTACCTGGAAAGCAGACGTGAGCCAAGGGACTTATGAGACAGCTTGGAACTTCCTTCGAGTCGTCCGAATCATCGTCCTCAGCGGCCCGACGCTGTCTCCTAAGCATGCCTGCATGCCCTAGTGCCGCCACAAAGCAGCTGCACCCGCGCGCGACGCACTCGATGTTCTGGACGACGAGGAGAAGGAGGAGGAGGAGGAGAACCGGACCATCTGTTGCGGCCATTAGCGCACATACAATAAACCTTAACCCCAAGTAGCCCTCCCTAGCTTGATAATAGTCTCACTCTGGTCGGCAACCACATCCTCTTCTCGTCCTCAAGGAATCCTCGATGCACCATTAGTAACGACTTGGCCTTCGACCCTATTGAGGAGGCCATAGAAGTTGTCGACCGCGGAGAATTTTTCGTACACGACGAGGGGCGACCTCATCATCGCGGTGTGTGCTATATCTCGACTTCTGCGTGCCCCCATCGCACCAGTACTCCCCTATTTTTGCACACGATCTTCCCCATTGTTGGTATGCAGCGGATACATCTGCGTTACATCCCCGTTCGAACGCCTCGAAGAGCTCTTACATCCACTATCACTACCCCCGCTCGTTCTTGCGCCCGGGCGGGTCCTTGGCAAGGCCTCGCGATGCGGGGGCACACGGAGTCCGTGCTGTATTTGTGCGAGATACCGGGGCTTCCGTGAGCGGGCGCGCTTCACGATCGATTCTTCTGCGCAGTATGTATGTGCACTCCTTCCATCCAAGAAGCGTCATGACGGCTCATCTCTACACACAGGATGACCGGGGACGGTCTCGTGGAGCGGGTCCATAGCGATGGGTCAGCATGCCGTATTCGTGGGTATGAACTATCGTTTGCATGCCTTCGTTTTCCTTGCCGTGATGGAAGTGAAGGAGGCTGGCGTTGGAAACCAACTAGGTCTGCATGACGTACGTCCATCCCGTGCCGCCAATTTCCCATTCCGTTTCACTGACTTACGGGTTGGTGTCAAAGAGCGTGAGGCCCTGCGATGGATCAACAAGCACATCGCTGTATTTGGCGGAGACACAGACAAAGTCACTCTCTACGCATCTCGTGCAACTATCTCGGGATCCTTAGGGAATCACTGACGTGAATTTCACTCTCACAGCTGGGGTCCGAGCTCAGGTGCGACCTCGACCAACTTGCAGATGGTCACGAACGACGGGAACCCGGAAGGCCTCTTCCGCGGGGTGATCATGAGCTCCAGCTCGCCCGCTCCCACTAGAGACATCACCAACCTGCAGCCGTACTCGATTGTGGCGGGCCCATCAGGCATCTTCGCGGATGTCGACTCGATGCACTCGAGCTCGCTGTCGGTGCACTATGAGTAGGGTCGAGGGCGTTGTAGAACAGGACGTGGGCGCGCGCGGTACGATCGTGGCGAAGGTCATGGTGGCGGTCACGGTAGTAATCGTGATCGGGTGTACCGCGCCTCGGGGGAGGCTGGGGGTTAGTTACCGTGGTGGCAGACCGGAAGAGGGACCGTGGTAGAATTCGAGGAGCGGGGCTGTGAACTTCGACTGAGGTTGTTACTTTTTTACTATGTCGGTGCGTTTCGCTATGCTGTACATGATATCTCGCCCATCTCGAGCTGATTTCATCTGTAACTTGTTGTCTGGTCGAGGAACGACAGGACTTACCGGGCGCTCTTCTCGCCACCGCCACGATAGCCTCGTGGCGGGGTCGGCTCGCACGCTCCTTGTCCTCTGCTACCACTGTCTTCGTATACGCACCGCCTGTCATGATACTATGCTAGTTTGAGCCAAAGAAACAGCTTATTTGGGTTAAACTGTGAGTCCATCGGCTCCGCAACCTCACGAGCAACCACTTACTCGAGCGTAGGTTCGACAATCCCCGGCTGTGAGGGTCTGTGAGGGTCGTCCGGCTCGCTCGAGAAACTTCTCCTCGGATGTCAATGCGACGTTCGGTCGAGTTATCATTGTGTACGACTACGAGTGAAGTTCAGAAGTGCGGTACGAACTCATATCCAGGGGACACGTGCAATCCGCACTTGCCTTGACCGTGGCGGCGTGAAGCTAGGAGAACCCTTCGAAGCGACATGTTGTCTATGCTGCACCTGTGAGTTCAACTTGATGTGGCGTGCGCTGAACACTCGTATCTTGATTAGAGGCACGTCTAGCATGAGGCACCTCGCCTCATCTCACCGGTATATGCAACTCTGCCTTCTCGGGCCCATGTAGGCGCTACGCTACATCCGTCCGCGGGCTATAAAGTGCCCTGTGATGCCAGCGTTATCCTCGGGCTGAACATCGTGCATCCCTTCCTCCTTTCCTCAAGTTGCGCTATCATGAACACCCACAGTTGGCTAGGACTTGACGAGAATACCCCAGCCCCTCTTGCTCACTGGCATGACGCTACCGGGAGGTCTATCTATCGGCCGCCTCGAGCCATCACCACCGACCCCTACCGCAGTATGAGCCCCACTTTCGAGAGACGTGTGGGTTTTACACCTAGGCCCCATGATAGAGCGCGTTCTCCCTGGGTATGGCCCGTCCGCGCTATGCGTTGGGTGTTCATCGTGATGGTGGCGACAATCCTCACATGGATAGTGAGCATCGTCTCAAGCGCGGTCATCTACTACGCCAACGAAATCGCCTTGCATCATTCCCTACCCTTTCTTCCTTTCCTCAGAGCTGCTTTCGCAGGCGGGTCGATTCTCGGTACCGGTCTTGGGGTCATCCTATGCCCACAGCGTCCGCTGCCGAACCGATGGATTCATGACGTGCTCGACTATCGAACCGTGACACCAATGCACCCCGGCTGGTCTTTTCTCTTTCCGATTGCCGGAGCGATGGCCCCTGCCTTGGGCATTGTTGCCTTGAAGGATCCCATTATAACCGCGTCGGTGAGGGACCTTGCCGTCCTTGTGGCGGAGTCACTCGCGAGTGTTCCGACGCTCTTCTTCATCGGATACGTTATGTGGATGTCATGCAGACGTCAACGCTCGGCGCAGGTTGGGACCTCGGAGAACGTGGAAATGGGGGCCATGTAGCGCGAGATGGATAGATGGACTGTGTTACCATGTTACACAGTACGGGTTTCGCTTCAGGTTTGCACCTACAGTATCTGGCTCGTGTGTATTCTCGGCTCGCAATGGATGCTATGATCATGAACGGGATCGGGGGGTCATCTGGTCAGAGAGGGCCACGCCTTGGCTTGTGAGATGCGAGCGGCAGAAGGGTGTCACATAGACTCCATAGTCTGAGGATCCGGACAACCAACTCCCTGTCCGCGGCGCTGAGTACTTACCACCGCCACAACAAGTTACGACCATCGATAGTATCAGACGAGGCAGCCTCGAAAGCTTCAGCAAAGAGATGGTATCGCGAGGCGATGAGTCAATTCGAAGGAAACACAAACACAGCATCTGGATTCTGCCTGTGTACTGTGTTCTCTCAGCTCTAAGCAGACCGACGGATACGAAGAAGAAGCATTAAAAACAAGAATCACCTAACGCGGGTCCGAACCGGCGATACTTTCGCCGCATCGCCACCACCGCCACCGTAGCCTCGTGGCGGCGTTGCTCGCACGCTCTCATCCTCTTCCTCTTGTCTTCTTCGTCTGCCTCTCATCCAGTACTGTTGTATACTGGTGCGGTGTCCTCGGAATACTCATAGCTTCTTGCGGATAGCTTGCGATGGTGCGAGATAACTGGAGAACTGCGCATGAGCGACGCTTTGGCTGAAGCTCGAACTCGCGGGTGCCAGCGTGGCACTCGTTCGAAGGTGAGCGTCGCACATCTTCGCTCGTTCATTAGTTGCTGCTGAGCGTATGGATGTCTAGGAGATTGTGGTGCCTTTTGCTTAAGCAAAGCGTCCGCATACAGTCGTCTTCCGGGGACAACACGCTTTGGCCTACATCGCACTGCCTCGTGGTGGACCTCCCTAGTAACTGCAACTTCTCTTGTTTTGTTCTGCATCGGAATACCTGTCAGCTTAGACCCGCCGCCCATGTGTTATCGCGCTCAGGCCCTGTTGTCTAAGGTCTTAGGCCCAACTCGTCCAGGGCTGTGCGAGACTTCTCGGAGTGGGTACTATAAAGACTGCGCCCACTCGTCTGCAGTCTACCGCGCCCTGCACCTCCTTCGACCTTCAATCTTCGATCTTCGAACTTGAACACCAACAACAACCAACTACTCACCAGTCTTGTCTTGTCCTCGCACTGCTTTGCTCTGTTGACCATGTCCTCCATGTCGCAAGAGTCGCTTCTCCCAATGCCCGTTCAGGCATCATCCGAGCCCCGCGGCAACCCCGGGGTCTATATCCCCTTCCCTGTCTTCCTCTACGACGCCGCCGCTAGGCAGTACGCCGTCCTCCCCACGTCCGACGGCGCCTCCGACTCGGACTCGGAAGACGGGACCGTCGCAGGAGACGAAGACCCCGCCCAGTCAAAGCTCCTCGGATCGCCCCCAAACAACCTCGAGGGCATGCACATCAGCTCTCCCGCCACCCGCCCCTCGACGTTCTCGTGGTACCGCGCGCTCAGCGGCACGATCTGGTACATGCGCATGTGCCTCGTCCTCGTCATCCTCTGCACCGCCGCCACGCTCGCCACCGGCGCCGTCTTCGCGCTCATCGGGAACGCCGTGGTCCTCGGCTCCCTCGCGCCGTACGCCGCCATGCGCGAGAAGGCCGCGGACAGCGAGATGGAGGCGTGTGCGGTGGGCGCGGGCGTGCTCGGGTGCGCGGTCGGCTTGTGCGCGTTTGCGTGTTTCGTCGTGCGCAGGGCGCGGTTGAGCGATGCGGAGCGCGACACGGAGCTCGAGCTTCCTGCTCCCGCGTCTGCGTCTGCCTCTGCGCCACGGCGGTACGAGTACCCCGACCTCGACCTCGACATGAAACCGAGCGAGCCGGAGGAACTGTGGACGGCGCTGACGGTCGCGGCGGTCGCGGGCGTGTTCGCGATGGCGGTCGGGATGGCGGTCGTGCCTGGGCTCCGGCTGGCGGCGGCGGCGGAGGGCTTTGAGGTGAAGCATGCGCTGGCGATCGGGGCGTGGGGGCTGGGTGCGCCGCTCTCGCCGATGCTGGCGTGTATGTTTGTGGCGACGCTGTGGAAGTGCGATCCGTGTGCGGGCGCGGAGTGTTGCTGTGAGGGGTTGGGGGCGTGTTGTGCTAGGGATTAGGGACTAGTGGGTGGGTGGGATGTGGGGTGCGGATGTGGTTGCGGATGTGGTGGTTGACCTACTGGGTCTTCCTGTGACCTTCCCGGACTTTGATTCTTTCTGCGTTGCTTACTTGCATGCTCGTGCTTTCTGTTACTTGTGTTGGTCTGTCTGCGCTGTCATGACGCGTTGTTCGCGCTGTCGCGCACCTGTCGCTCCTTTGCTTTTGCATGGACTCACCATCTCTCCTTGCTCTGGTCCTCGACCTGTTGTACTCGCGTTGCTTGTGCTTTGGAATGGATGTGCATCGTATTATGTTGCGAATTTGCGGCATGGATCGTGCGTCCAGAGAACATCGCCACGGAAGACATGACCGACAGACATCGCGGACGGAAACCGACGCTGACTGGAATTCTATCGTGCACCGCATGGGCATCCATGAATATGTACCAAAACTTGTTGAGAACTCGAGAGGATGGAGTCAAGCTGCGGTCCGACCAGGAACAAGCCTAGTCGAGCAAAGAGACGCTGGGGGGACGAGCACGTGACGGGACGCGTCGAATAAGACGCGCGCGACGCGTCCCCGAAGAAGGCCGTGTCTGCTTGTCTCCTCTCCACCTCCTGCATAGTACATACGTCCAGTGCTTTATCTTCTACTACTTGTACGATGGCTACGAAGTCCAAGGCAGGAGAAGCCAAGGTTGCTGTTCTCAAGGGCAAAGATGGTGCGCGCCCTCCGTCGTACTAGTAGAGCGCATATACTCACCCATTCCGCCCCTTCTGTTTCTGTGCAGCTGAAGAAAAGGTACTCGAGTATATGAAGCGTGTGCGTCATTGCGGATGTAGTGCGGTGAAGGTAGACTGAGCGCATATACGCACCCAGATGAACCGCCCGTTCGGGGCGGTGGACGTCTCTGCGAACTTGAAGGGCGCGGTGCCGAAGACGGCGGCGCAGAAGATACTGGTTGCGCTCGCGGAGCGCGGGGACCTCGTGCAGAAGACGTGTGGTGCGCATATAGTCGCCTTCGTTGCGTCGGGTCGGTCTGATACTGGCATACAGGAAAGACTACGTTCTTTGTGGTCAACCAGGCGAACCTGGAGGACATGCCCGCGGAGAAACTCGCAGGGCTGGAAGCAGAG